AACTAACTTTACCAATATTCTTTACCAGAGGATTATATCATATGATCTTCTGAGAAGTAAATTTTATAAAGCCATTAAAATGACTTTCGGAAATAAATATTTCTAATAAAGGAAATGCACGTGGATTTCTGCAAAAGGACACAGAGGCAGCTCTATAACATAATGTAAAATTTATATAATTTTAATTAGGACTCCAGAATCTCATGATTGAAATGCAATGCCATATTTCCAAAGGCATTTTTTAATTAGGTAAACTAAGCTCTTACATAATAAGTTGGAAATCAAAGTTGGACAAAATTCCAAAATAGAAAAAAGTTAAATAGAAATAAAATTATGCTGATTGATCTCTAGGGGAAAAGACTATATTTAAACCCAAGCAGTTGATTCAGTGGTGACTCCCTGAGCTTGAAACAGTAACTCTTGAAATGGTAACAAATCCATTGGAAGCCACAATAGTAATGAAAGAGAAATCCAGGGTAGCCACTGATAATGCAGGTCTTCAGAGCTGCTGAAATTTTTGAAAGAAGAATACAAAATAAATTTTTGTTTTCAGTCAGCAAGCACAAGGTCCATCTGCTCTCTCTTTAGTTTTTGGAGTTGTTTAGTCAACTTCTTTATCCCCACCCTTTTGTTGCGTCAAAAATAATTACAAGGATGAGCCCTGTGATGTGTTAAAATAATAAAGTCTCTGTGTGTGTAGGGTAGATCTGTGTATGTACATTCATGTGGAGTATGTGTGTACACGCATATATGGCATGGCCATAAACATGGACACATACATACACTTACCCAAAAGCGGTGAAGTGTGTTAAGAGCTCTGACAAAAAGGCTGTGTCATCTTGGCCGGCAGCTTCTCTAAAAACCCATCTTAGTTAGGTTGTGCCAGTATGGGGAGGCAGTACATACTATTTAAGTTTCTTAGATTCCTTAGTTTGTCTTTATTTTCCACATTAAAAAGACTAATGCCTGTGAAGGCATTGTAGCCAAGGACTCAGAGAACATGGCCTTTGCTGAGTGCCTATGCTTTGCTTTCTCAACAAGAGCTGTCGATGAAAGAACAGTGAGCCTCTACCTCAGTGCTTCTCAAAGTGTGGTTGATGGAACCCTGGTGGCCTAAACCGGGAGTCCACAAGGTCAAAACTATTTTGTCATGCTCAGATTTATTTTTATTTTTTTATTTTTTATTTTTGCCTTTTTCACTTATGGTGCCAAAGCAGTGGTGGGTAATGCACCTTAGCATGAACCAAGATAGAGGTATCAGACTGTGCTGTGGTGATTACATTCTTCATTAGCATACACTTACAACTTAAATGCCAGTTTTATTTAGTCTCCTCATTGATGCATTAAAATTATTTAAATAACTCATAAGCCTTGGCTACACACTGTATTAATGTGCTGTACGACGAAGGAGAAGAATACATAAAGCATTTCTGGTACATTCCACAGTACAGCGGTTGTCTCAAGGAAAAGTCCTCATTTGAGTTGAAAGTTGAGTTAGCTCCTTTATCGTATTATGTCACTTTTACTTGAATAAAACAACTGATTACTCAGACTTTAGCCTGTGGAAGATATTTTCTCGAAATGAATGAAGTGAGCCTAATGCTTTAAGGAAAACATCTGATACCATTTGCTACCACAAACTTCAAACTTTCAGGTGGTGATTAGAATTTTGGAAAAATTCCCATTCCTTAAAACTTTTCTCGTGAAAGCAGTAATGATATTAATGAATGTGATGTTTTTTTTACATAATTTGTCAACATTTGGAAGATCTGCATAACTCAGCAATCCAATATTTTCCAGATGACCAAATACCAACATATCATGAAGTTTGAAAAGTTTGTTGATATAGTTTTCAGATTCCATATTGCAACTAACTAGGTCAGTTTGATATCAAAAGTTAATATCCACAATTATATGAAAAGGCTGTTAAGATACTCTATTTTCCAACTGCCTATCTATTGGATTCATAAATTTCGATCAAAATAACATTGCAACAGACAGAATGCAGAAGCAGATACGATAATCTAGCTATCTTCCATTAAGCCAAATGTTAAAGAGATTTGCAAAAGTGGAAAGCCATGCTTCTCTCTCGCTGTCTCTCTCTCTTTT